GCTCCTGTTGGTCCTCCTGAGCCAGGTCCAGATCTCTGGGTCCTTCATTTCCCTTCCCGCATCCTCCGCCTGCCGCGTGGCGATCTAATATTCCCACTTAAACATGCACAAAAGCCCGTGCAAGCCACAGCTGACAAGACAGCAAACCTGGTTTTCAGGCTGCAGACACCAAGTCAAGAAGCACTGTGGCCACGCACGGAGCACTGCCCTGCAATAACGTCACTCTGCCACTCCGTACTTACCCAGATTGCCTTGACGGGTGCAATTCATGCCGAAGCTCTCGGCTGGATGGGCCACCACCTCCCTCCGCTCCGACTCCGCGCCAGATGAGGCGTCGTGTGTTCTGGGGGTGGCACAAGCCACATCAAACTGGCACCCAGTTCCCGGCGGAACGCGACAGCCCTGGGGTTACACCCCCTGGCCCACCCGGAGCGTTGGCGTCACGACGGGGCGGCGCAGAGCCGGGACCCCAGGAGAGGGAGATCTTTTAAAACCTGTCTTAAATCAGCGTGGCCACAATCGTGGGAGCCACGTTGAGAGCTCCCAGTGTAGGATCAGAAACGCTACAGCCTCGTGCCTCAAAAACCCAAACCAGTACAAATCCACTCTGCCCAGTTAGAGGTAGCCCGAAGCACGGCCTGTGCGTGCCCGCCTCTCGGCAGACGTTGGGCCAGATTGGGTGTGACTTTTTTTTTCCCACAGCCCGGACACGATTAAAACACACCCTCACTAACTGAGCCAGAACAGGACTGTGCGTTTACCCCGATGCAGATCGCGTCCATCCTGCCCACGGGCCCCGCGCGAGGAGCTGGGACCCGGTGCTAGGCAGAGGTGCGCTCACTGGGGCAAAAGCAACTCAAGCCCAGGTCAGCCACGGGATCGTCTGAAGTAATTTAAACCTGGCTGGCGCAGGGTTAGCTGTGCATTTCCCTAACTGGAATAAGAACTGGGGATGTAACAGTTAGTTTTGGTAACTTGTTTTTGAACAGGCACAACCACAAATGTGCAATTTATATGGACTGGTTACAGCTAAGCAGAATCAAGCTGCTCTTAAGCTGAGCTGGGAGCATCGAGCTTTGGCAGTGATATTTAGAGCTTCCCGAGTCCCTGGGTGGGGAGTGGTTTTCTAAAATTACCGGCTTTCTTCCTTTCGTTTTGATTAAAGTAAACGTATAGTCTTTGAAGCTTTAAGGGAAGAACTTGAAAAACGTGACCTTTAGAGCTTTGATACTAGACGACAAATAAAAGGAATCCAAAGGACAATCCCTTTAGAAGTGTACGCGGCCATCACTTAGTGAGCAGAGAAAGGAAATAGGGATGACATGTTTTGCTTGGAGGCCAAGATTGACGGCAGCCTCTTAATGTTTTCCTTAAAACCTTGGTGGGAGAACACGGTACTGGCAAACGCGGGACACTGCTTGCCTGGTTGTGCGGGCGCGGGCGCTGCCGGGGCTCCCTGGGCTGAGCCCCCGCCGTGCCCGCGCGCAGGCGACGCCTCCAGCAGAGCTCCAGGGGGCCGAGGCCGAACGCGCGGCAGCGCTCCAGAAGGTGACGTTTGCTGAGCTGGCGCTGGAGAGCCTTTGAGCTTCACCTTTCCAAATCTAAATCTCCGCATCCTTGGGGAACCACGCCTGGAAGCCCAGCCGGATCCTCAGCAGCTACTCTTCGTGCTATTTCTTATTGGGATTCTCTTTTAAAGAAACAAAAAACCGTGGAAAATTTGGGCGATGCTTAGCTGGGGTGGACAGAGTCTCCTGAACTTGTTCTCCCTGGCTGAGGCCATTTTGGGGTAATACATCATCAAGGCTCTGTCACTCCCCTGATGTATTAGCGTAATGCATCATCGGAGCAGCATTGCTCCAGTGATGCATTGCTCGTCACGTAACGTTAGCCTCTCACCACCTGAACGTCCACCAGCAAGAACACGTTCAGGACAGCCGGTACATTTTAATTTATTATTTTCGAAAACTTTGGGAAACTTGCACGGTTTGTTTTGAAACTCGGTTTTATTTCCTTCTGGGTACCCAGCTGGGACCAGTGGTACCATTTTCAGGTCTCTGGAGAACGGCTGCCATGCCTGGAGAATACTCCACAGGCTTTTAGGATTTTATGATTTTAGGAACAAACTAAAGCCAATGGAAACCCCCCAGGGTTTCTTCACATTTTACATCGCGTGTTCTGGCAGCCCAGATGAGTTATGGCTGCAGTTTATCCAAAGAACAAGTACTGCAGGGATTGCAGCCCCACAGACATCCCCAGACCACCCCCGCCCAGCTGCCAAAAGTAGGTTGGAACCAAGATTCAGAAAGACTTAGAAGCCCAGAGTCAATTTATACCCGGATTCCCCACGCAGACACCAAACTCCCTGCTCCGCGTTTCCCATCTCAGAGCCGTGTCCCTTCCCCGTGTGACAGCCCCCTGCACCCCTTTGACACGGGGGTTGTTACAATCCCACTGTTAATACAAGTCACCCGAAGGAGCGGGTGACGAGCAGTAACAATTAGGAAAGCTTTAATTCTTTTAAAGGCTTTTTTTTTTTTAAAAGGCATGGAAGTTTTACAAACTTTTAACAGCCACTCCTCCCTCCCTCCCCTTTTTGCTCACCTCCTCGTATGGCTGTGGTTTACCATAGATATAACACTGCCGGTTTCAGTCAATACAGGGACAGTGTTTAGCCGTTACGTATCTACGACAACAAAAAAATAAAATTAAAACCAACACAAACTTAGCTGAGAAAGTAATAAGAAGGCAAACTCAATTACTGTTTCATCTGGCATTATTGTAGCTTTGCTGCTCTTTGTCAGGGACTTCTTCCAGGCAAAATTGGAGAGATTATCTTGTCTGGATGTTATGAAGTAGCTAATCCCTTCCGCAAGTGGAGGAGAGCCAAATGCTTCACATCGGGCCAGCAGAAGCGTAAATATGGTAACGGAGTGCTGCCCCCGGCTCCCCGGCTGACGCTGCCCTCGCCGCCAGCGGCAGCCTCGTGCCGGGGCTTTGCCCAGCCCGCATCTTCATGGGGGGCCAAAACTTCTCCGAGATGGCCCGAAAGATTTCCCCTTTCCCCGCGGGGCAACTCGGGGTGAGGGGTCCCAGCGCAGAGCGACGGGGCTTCGGCAGCAGGGCAGTAGATCCCCGCCACATCCACCACGTGTTGGAAACAAGAGGGAAAAGGCGTTTTTAGAAAAGAGAAAGGCCAGCGTTTGAGGCCGCTGTGCTGAGTCGGCTCCGTCCAGCTCTGCCGGCGGCGGACAGCCCCGCCATGCTGCTGGTGGGAAGCAGGGATCCCCCCGCAGCCGCTCTGGGAGGGTCCCCGGGGCCGGAGCAGCCCCAGCCTTGGGGCAGATCTTCCCGGTAAAGAGCCGAGGGTTGATCCTGCCGCCGTGGAACGGGAGGCAGAAGCCCCGCGCTGTTGACCCGCAGCAGAGCGCGAGGAAGACGGCGGCGTGGAAGGACGAGCTGTGCCCCAAGAGCTCTGCCACCCGCCCCGGCACTCCGCGGCGGGTCCCTCTCCCCGCAGAGCTCCTTGAGCAGAGGTGAGGATGACGATGCTCCTGCCTTCCTCCGTCCATCCAGCTACAGGACACCCTGCGGCAGGGCATGGAGTAGAGACCTCAGAAACCAACGTCAGGAAAAAAACTACCCACTTACGTTGTATTCAGTGGATTTTATACGACATATATAAAAAAAACCTCCAGGGCCGTTATTTCCAGTAAAGACGAAGTCTTGTTTTCATCTAAGAATGGCTATTTCTTTGTCATTTCGTACTTAAATGTAACCAGAGTAAGGCTGGCTTAAACAGAAATTCAGAAAGGTCTAATCTTTAATCACACTGTACATTAACCCAGAGCAACATATTTATGTACACAGCGCTGACACAACTAACACCTTTCGGCTCGGTGAGAGATCTCCATTACAGCCCTGAGAAAAAGAGAATCACGCGCCCTCGTACATCACCATCTCTGGGATGAAGCCCGCTCGCCCTCCCTCCTCCATAACAACAACAGAGAGACAAAACAATATCTCACCTGCCCATCTCCCCCCCACACCCCAGAAGCTCAGGTAAAACATATTTGCAAAGCCGGGGAAATGCAAAAGGTTGCTCAGCTGGAAAAACTGACCCGCCACTCAGCCCTGGCCGGGGGGACCTGGCCGTGTATGCACACACATGCGTGGAGTTAATGATAATTACTTCTTTTCAGCAGCAAGCAATGTGCCTGTTACGACCAAAATCGGTTTTGCTATTTCGACGTCGGGAAATCTGCAAGTCAAAGGTGAGGAAAAAAAAAAAAAAAAAAAAAAAAAATCACAATCTGGCAGCCAGCAGCAGCCTGCGATTTCTGGGAGAGCTGGATTGCCAATCATTTTTATACCTCTGCGCTTTAAATAGCAATAATGTGTTGAATGTGAAATTGCCTGTGCTGATGTGGTTTGCTTCACGCTATTAAAATACAAGCGTCGAGACACATATTACACAGTTGTGATTCTTCAGAGACGTTGTTGGGGGAAAAATACAAACTCCAGCAGAAGTTTGGGGGAGGAGGGACCCAAGAGGTAAAGGGGGAGGGAGAAGCGGGCAAGCGGGTCTCAAAGATCACAGGTGTAACAAGAACCAGGGAGAACAGGGTTTATCTTGTCGGGATATGCCCGGGAAATAGCTCATTATTTCTAAGTCACGGGAGTATGTTGACGGAGCTTGTTTCCTATAATGTTTATTCCTTATTTGTTTTCCATTGGTTTGGCCCATTCTGCATCAACACTTGGCCCAACACTGGGCCCCATTTGGAGCTCGGCTGCTGCTAGGCTTTCCTACAGCATTTTGCCCTCTACAGAGACAAAAGCACCAGCAAAAGGCAGCTGCTACCCTTGCACCCCGTTACCAGCGGCCCAGAGCAGCTGGGGGATTTGCCTCAGAACCGGCCACGGAGGAGCCAAGGGCAGACGCCAGCTCCAGCACTTTCCTCGTGGGAGATACCTGGTTTGGGCAGTGACTGGCCAGTGTCCTGTCCTTGCTGGCTGGCATTTATCTCCCCAGGAGCCTCCGAAGGAGCGGAGGCGCCGCCCGCCCCGCAGCATCCCTCCATCCAACGGCTCCTGCAGCTCCGTTGTTTTACCGGTGACGCCAGCTGGGGCCGTGCGAGTGGGGCCGTCCTGCCCCGCTGCCACCAGGGCTCATTGCCTGGTTCAAAAGCAAAAGCAAAGTGAAGCATTGGCTGCGGCACAGGTATCCTGGCTCCCAAGTGAATTTGGGCTTTGTAGGCCTTGTCCTGCCTGCGCCTCCGCAGCGTGCCCAACCCAGCATCTCCCATCAGAGGAAGGGGCGAAGGCCCCCGCGGGGCGTGGGGCAGTTGGTTAAAGGGCCCTCCCGGCGGTCGGGCTGATCCCACCCTCAGAGGGCAGCTGTTCCCTCGCACCCTCCCGCGAGCAGCCCGTCGGTTTTGCCAGGACTTCCCAAGACCACGGGTAAGGCTCTGGCAGCTCCGCCTGGGCAAGGACGCGACGCGCTGAATCCCTCCCACACATGTTGCTTGGCATCTTCACGGGAGCATTTTTCCTCCCGAGTCAGGTAGTCATTACGTGCTCTGACAGCCACATAACTCTTTTTGGATGAATAGATCCCTTAATCTATGATTTTACAGCCTTTACTTACATACAAGTATCCATATATAATGCATATCTGTATAAAAAAGTACGCAAGCCATCTCTGCATAAACAGCCATACTCCTAAAAGAGGAAGAAAACTATGATGTACGCGCTGTGTTATTTCCGTCCATCTAAGAAATTATTGCATGATTCATTAATCCCCACCCTGCTTTCTGCTCTCTACCAACACCCCTCTTCTCCGTCAACATATAAAGAGCCATTTCTCAGTCACACCTTCCAGGTGCCAAACTTCTGCGAAGCCTTTCAAGAGCAGGACATTCCCAGCTCAGATGTACACAGACCGTGGTTGAGGGGCAATAAAATAAATAAAACCCCCCCACGCACCGTTAATACGCTCAGGGTCAGTTTTGCTACAGCCATAACTAGTGCCCTGGGGCGGGCTGGGTGGGAGCCGCGGGGACGGGGGCCTGCTGTCGGGAGCACGGGGGGTGGAGGGCTGGGATGCACGTCTCACAGATGGGGAACGATGCAAAGAGATTTAAGGTCCTGTCAGACTCCAGAGTTTTATTAGTCCATCTGCAGCAGATATAGGACTGATTTTTTTTTTTATTAATATTTTTTAAGAGAATAGGCGCACCGGTAAAGTCCTGGTAATAAAAGGTGCCAGAATGGAATAAAAACTGAAGTATCTCTGTTCATCATGCTCACAGACCCTCTGCTCTTTGAGCAAGGTCACACAAAACCAGTACTCAAACCCACCTTTCTCCAGCCCCTTCGCTGCCTCCATGGAGCGGTACCAGCCCCGTGCGTGGCACAGCTCCTCTCCTCACCACAGCCTGTCGCCAGCAGCGACTTCACCTTGAATGGCAACATCCTCCATCCATCCATCCATCCATCATCCATCCATCCCTCCCTCCCTGCTCGGGACGGGCGGCCGCACGGACGGACCTCAAACCCTGACAGCCAGAGAGTACAGCATAACCAAAATTAAAAGGCTGGGAAAATTATCTTTAAAACGTTAAATGAGAAGAACAAAGACTCTAGACGCGATCTGGAAGATGAATTGCGCCCGGAGGAGAAAACCGCCCGAGCAGTTGGGTGCAAAGGAGCCGTGTTTACAGCGGTTGGGACGCGGAGGAGATGGCGAGCGAGATATTGGTTTGATAAGCAGATGAGCTGAAATTCTGAATGCACTGGAGGTGCTGATAGGAAAAAAAAAAAAAAAAAGGAGGTAGATGGAGAGACAGGGGAATGCCGGAGAAACAGCTGTGTACACTGAGATGCACGAGATGTCAGGGAAAATAGAAGGGCATCGTGATCCATGAGATTCTCAAAAGAAACAGGAGAAGTGGAGATCGGAGGGAGACAGCAGATGTTTTCATGCCAAGACAATGATGGAACCATAATTACAGCGAGATAGAGCATCCTGCATAGTCACAGCAACAAAGAAACAAAAACCAAACCCCAAACCAGACACGTTTGATTGGCAACTAGAAAAGGCGACAAAAGAGTAATGAGCATTTAGTCCTTCTATTACACGGGAGCCAGACAAGTGGAAGAACGAGGGCACCTCTGCACCGCAGAGCAAGAACGCTGCCTGAGAGGTCAAGCTGCCAACAAAACCCCGTGTATTTATACGGGTCTCACACACGACAGAGCTGGGGGCTCAGAAATAGGTTTTTTCTCCCCATTTTCAACAAGGGAGGGGGGTGTGTGTGTGTGTGGGTGTGTCCAGGCACATAGAGCCTGAGGCTGGGACGTTCAGCAGACGACGGGACAGGTGATTCCTCACCGCTCCTGGGCAAACCCATCGCAGGTGTCTTGGTCAAGGGCAGGGGTGCAGAGGAGGATGAGTGTGGTCTGAGTCTGGGGTCGGGGCAGCGAGGGGACTGTCCCCTGGGAGAACAAAAGTGGCCAAAGCTCTTCAAGCAGGGACAGGCCAGCACACACCGTGAGCCCCCGGCCTGGGGGCTGCAAAAGCATCACTGGGAGCACAAGTCCACGTCGAGCGAAGGCAACTGAGGGAGGAAAGCGAGAAATTCACGGGGAGTGGAGGAGCACAGAGCCCTACGGGCGGTAACAAGAGCCCGCAAACACGGGTGTCAGCACGGACATCACCAGAGGTTCCCAATTTCTGACTCGGGTCGGTGCAGGGGCCAGGATTCTTATTTTGCAAGATGGTTTATCCTCCAGTTTGCCACACAAAGCTCAGTCTGGGCAGATGCACACGGCGCTCGCTGCCTGCGGGAGGAGGAAAAAGGAACAGGAGCGAGCCCTGGGATCACACTGGTTTTGCCAGGTGCCAAGGCTTCCAAATGCAAAACTGTCCCCAGTTAACCAACATGCAACACGCATTTAAAATCCTGGGCCGAGGCAGCAGCCGGGACAAGCCAGCACATTTCACTTGCTCCACGACTTCATCCGGGCTCTGTCTGAGCCTCCGTTTGCATGACGGGTCCTGCAGGACGACTTTCCCCCCGCACACCTGGGGCAGCACCTGCCCCTCCGCCCGCAGGCAGCAGCCCTGCCAGCTCACCGTGCAGTTACCCGAGCACCGGGATCCTCGGGAAAACTGGGAGAGGCAGGACGTGGCCCCTGTGAGTCCTCATTTCCTTCTCCCTCAGCAGCGAGATCACGTTTGAATTATTTTTGTCAGGTCTTAAAAAAACCAAGGTAAGATGACAGTTGTGACACACGGCATCCTCTGCCTACAAAAGGCTCCTGGAAGTGCCAGGTTTGCCCGTGTTAAAGAGATCATATGTGTTCAGGTTGTGATCTGCCTCTAAAATACAAATGGGCTTGGAAATATGAAAATATTACACAAAATAAAATCGCCTCCACGCGCTGTATTTGCAGCATCTCAACAGGAACGGTTTTTTTCCTGACTCATTTGTCCCTGTCAGGCTGTTCCCTCTTTTTAAAAAGTCCAGTTTTCAGTGCGAGCACAATGAGCTCACTTCATTTTGGCTAAGGTTAAAAAAAAAAAAAAAAAAAAAAAAAAAAAAAAAAAAAAAAGGATCTGATTTGAAAAAGAAAAATCTTGCTTCTGTGCACTGGGGTCGTTCTGTGTGGAAGGGCACGCCACAATCACGGAACAAAATTCAAAGCAAATGAGGGGTCAGTCTCTGCGAGTGAAAAGCAACGCTTTTTCTTTATCATCGCAAGTCCAGACACTGTGTAAGGACAAATCTGCACAAGCACAGATACAATCTGGACCCGCGAGCAGAGAGGAACATCCAGAGCATGTAAATCAAGGTCCTATAGATGCATCTTATGGCTCAAGATTAGACATCTCCCCTCAAGGACTGAGAGCCCAGTGGCTACGCTTCTCTGGCGTTACTCAGGCAAAAATAATTCCGAGCTGCTGACGGGCTGTCCGCTGATGCTGGAGTGCCATCTGCTGCTGTCCCCGCTGCCCGGGACCGGACGGCCACCCGGCCGCTGGCTTCGCCCACCCCGGCCCTGCGGGTCCTGAGCCGGCCCCGGCCTCACGCACCGGACGCTGGAGGACTCCTGGGGAAGGGAGGGGGCCTGCGGGGTGTAAAAGTGGCAGGGCAGCTACAAAAAAAAAACCCCAAACCCACTCAAACCAACTTTTCTCCACTATGACTCTTTTCTCACCCATTTGCGGGTGTTTTCCTGGTGTCGGGGGGCAGGACCGGGTGTCTCACCGTGTGCCCGCACACGACGCGCTGGTTCAGGCCACGGGTTCCCTGCCCCGGGGGCAGAGAGGTGGTACGGAACATTCCGGAACGCAGCCGAAGGATCAGAGCTATACACTTGACAAGGCAGCCAAACGTTTCTTTCCTGCTCTGCCAGAACAACCCTTCCAGTGGAGAACAAGTCTCCTGGGGAAGGGCTGAGTTCCCCAGCGTCCCTCCCGAGCGTCCCCCTGCACCGGGGACGGGAAGGCTGAGGAAGAGCGGCCGGGGGCTGGGGGAGGCACCTCGGGGCAGCTGAGGGACTCTGTGCTCTCCCGCTGTCGCCCTCCCATCGTCTCACCCCAGGGGCAGGAAAAGGGGAGCTCTGGCTTCCAGCAAGTGCCCTGAGGGCTACAGCAAACCTCGGGGGCGGCTGCTCCCGCGGCCCTCCGCAGAGCCCAGCGGGCAGCGGGGCACAGCCAGGAGATGCTTGCGTTGCCATCTGCCGCGACAAACGAAAGAGCTTCTCGAGAGGCCCAGAGAAGTGGTTTAGGTGCACGCGGAGACACGGCCACTCCGGACCCAGGCAACAGAGAGAGAAACCCAGATCCACAAACTGCTCTGCAAGCGTTGTTTTCCAGAAATGAGGGCACCTCGCCTGAAACAGTATGAAACGTCTCATCAGCGTTCTTGAATCCCAACTGTGGCGTTCAGGTACAAAAAAAGAACATCACGCCCCCAACGCACGGCGTTTTGAAGGTGGAACACGAGCTGCGCAACCCAGCGAGTCCCTTTGATCCCACCTCCCCTCCCTCAGCGCAGTCAGGGCCCAGCACGACTCCTGCTGCCATCTCCCGCTCCCCGCGAGGACGGAGAACGCCGCCGTAAACATCCAACCCGGATTTTAGGCACCAAAACACACACCTGGGAATCTGCAGCAGCTCTTCTATGTTCTTGCTTCAGCACAAGGAGGAAAGCTGGCACGCGCTCACCTCGGAAAACACTACAGGGGTGGAAAAGGTCCAGGGCTGGGTGTCAGGGCGGATGCATGATACCCACCAGCTCCTGCGTGAGGAGCTGAATAGACCTCGGACACCTCAGCCTGGAACAGAGACAGGTGACAGAAGAGAAGTCTATAAACTCACAGGCAGTATAGACAAGCCAAAGCAAGGGCCATTACTCACCTTTCCGCAGCATCAGGATGATGGATTAGCCAGGGATGCTTTCAGGCAATTTAGAAAACAAACAGGAAGCACTTTTTTCCCCCGCACGTAATTAAGTTGTGGGACATATTGCCACAGGATGTCGTGAAGGTCGGAAGGACAAATGGACTCAGAACACCATTACACAAATCCACCAGAGGTGGTTTATACGCGTCTATTAAGGGCAACGCGGCATGCAGCGTCCGCCTCAGCAGCGCCAGCGCTGCTCCCAGCTGGAAACCAGGACGGGGTCAGGGAAACCTCTGCGTACAGGATCCCTCTTTTCTATCTTTTACCCGAATTCCCTGGGCTGCCAGAGCAGGCAGGGGCCAGGCAGACCTTCAGCCCCACCACCCAGCACTTCTGTCTTAGAACCATTCATGTTTCTCCTGACAAAACGCCCGAGCCCTGAGACTCTCCCCCCCATCACCTAATGCAGCCAGAATTTTTCCATCTTGCTTTGCGGTGTTGCTGATTTATCCTTTTTTTTTTTTTTTTTTTTTTTTTTTTTTGAGGGAGGGGAGAGGAAGCTGAGGTGACTGAAGCCAAACCAAAGCCCCTGAGGCAATAAACTTAATGCAAGACACATGTTCTTTAATTCTTGGTTCAGCAGCCTCCAACACACAGGCTTCCGAGGACAGCACGGAGACAGGACCCGATAGGTTTGTGTGACGCAGTAAAACGAAAGTAAAAATGAAGCTTGCGTCTGATTTTTTTTTTTTTTTTAAATCCCACTGGCGGTGAAGTTTCCACAGCGGAAGCGCAGAGCCAGGTTCCGTGCCGCGCGGCTGCACACGTGGCTGCGAGGGGCCGCACTGCGCCTCGTGTCCCTGCTCCAAGTGCCCGCGTCAGACGGGCACCGTTATCCTCCATCTGCGCCCAAAACACGCTCTTGGCTCCCCTCCTCCCTCCCTGAGGAGCCTTCGAGTCCACGTGCCAAAGGAAAATCATCCCGGGGCTTTGCCTAAGGACTGGCTCCGGGGACAAGCCCCCGCTCAGCTGCCCAGGGCAGGAGGATGAGGAGCAGAGGCCGGGAGGATGAGGAAGGCACACAGGGAGCATCCCTCGTCCTCGGACGGAGCCCAAAGAGGGGAGGGTTGAGCTTCCAGGGGCTGGGCGGTGGGGGAGGCCGGAGCGTGCCTGGCGGCCGGCGGGAAGCTCTCCAGGAGGAAGTTATAAATTAGGGATCTCCAGAGACCTCATTCATTTTACCCGTAATAAAATTACCACTTTTCAAAGGGGAAAGCCCCTTTGAATGGCTTCAGTCAAACCAACCCCGTGGGACGGCTTAGCTCAGACACACGTACGCTCAGCCCCAGGTTTGCAGCCAAGAATTATACGGCCGCCTTGGGGATGGGGCTGGTGTTAAGAGCAGCACGACGCCTTCAAAACCCACCCCAGCTACGCTGCCGGGGTCTGGCAGGGCACGGAGCTCCACCGCTGCACCTCGGGGAGGAAGGGGCACGGACAGAAGTGTTTCAGCCTCCCCCGTTTCTTTTTTGACCCGTGCCTCTTCCCCTGCTCTTTTCCAAGCAGTTCAGAATCAGCTCCCCCCAGCTCAGCAAAGCTTCACCCTTGTCTATAATGTAAAAAAACCCCACCAAAACCAAAAAAACCCCACAGAACAAAAACCACCCACACCCCCAGGGCTCTGCTGAAGCTATTGATGTATCTATACAGGCTGAAATTTTTGATTTTAAAGAAAAGGATGCTTATTTGTTACCTGCCAACACCTCCTTATTTTGGTTAATCTCACCCTACAATGTTCTATTTATTACAGCTAAAAAAAAAAATAGGCAGCTTACAACACAAATAGGGATCAGGATGTTTTTCCATGTTGTAGAGCCAGAGGAAACCACGGGACGCAGCGCAGACACGGGCAGAGCTCCCCACGCCAGCTGCCAGCGGTCGCGGCGGATTCCCGACTTCGACACGCCCCTCAATGCGAGGAAAAACACCGACATGAAGGATGAATTAAACTGGATGTGAACAATAAGTAGCAGCACATCCAACCCCATGGGTGCAGAGGAAGAAGTCCAGGGTTACCCTAAGGTAAGATAAACCTGCCACTTCCAAGCTAACACGCGTGTGTTTGAATCTGATGACGGCTTGGAAAGCTCCCCGGGGTGTGGGAACAGTTTGGAACCCATTTGCTTCCAAACCCTGGAACTGCAAGGTCTGCGTTCCCCTGGGACGGTGCTACCACCCTGGGACTGTCAGTGGGAACTTTCCTCTTTTCCTTGGAGATCTGGTGAGGCAGCCTCCCGGACCGCAGCCACCCCGCTCCCCCATCCCAGAGCCAACAGCTCCCTGCCACCCCCGCGGCAGGACTGGGCGCCGGGACCCGCTTCAGAGACAGAAAAAGTCTGTATACGAGTCAGGAGAGCGCTGCCGTGAGGTGGGGAAGGGTTAAGAGCGTACCCCCACGGTACCAGGCTCACGAGGGACTCCCACCTTCCCAAGAGGGATCCGTCCTGCGCCGCTGGAAGCAGCTCACCACAGCCGAGTCCCAGCACAGCCGCTTCCACGCTTTTATTATTTCATACTGCCACGTTCTGGCGAGGCTGCAGCTAGAGAAAGCAGCAACAATTCTCTCCTCACGCAACCACGGACAGTTTGTAGTTCTCTGCCCTAGTGTGCATCTAGCCCCCAGGGATAAAGCTTCCCTGAGCAAAGAAAAAGCCCTGGAAGGAAATCCAGAAGAAATGCAAGTGAACTGCTCTGGGCACTGCACACACCTGCGGCAGACTGAGTGCAGGGCTCTTGGTTTTCCCTTTGACCTTTCATCTCCAGCCCGTCCGCCAGGCCAGGCACCGGCAGCAGAGAGCTGGAAGGTCACAGCCAAAGGCCAAAACACAAACCCTCCCCCAGAGGTTGGCTCCTGCCCAACAGAACGGGCGTCATCAGGGAGACGTCCCCTAGCAGGGCAGGGTCCCAGGGAGGCAGTTTGCTGGGGAGCCGCTCGAGATGGAGCTGACGGACAGGCAGCCTCCTTCACAGCTACACGGCAGCTTTTTCCGTCCCTTAGCCAGAAGCTCTGTGCAGGGAAAGACAAGCGCAGGCAGTTTGAATCAGCAAACTGCCCCCGAGCTGCTGTGCCCACGGAGCCCGGCACGCGCCGCGCTCAGGTACCGGCATCCGCCAGCACCGCGCCAGGAGCCAGAGTTCCACCCGGGAGATCCTGCCTGGTGCTGGGAGCCACCGTCCCTCTGCCGGTACCGGAGGCCAGCAAGGACCGAGACACCCTGTGGAGTGAAACCCTCCTCCTGGGGTGAGCAGCAAGAAGAAAGGACTCTCCTGAACTTTGCCAACTTCAACCCTGTTACTCCCCCAACAAAAATCCCCGTGTTTTATTCTTCACCCATCACCCGTCCAACAGCGCAGTCACAGCCCAGAGCATCTACAGGTCGGGTGTGTATCCTGGCATGAAGCGACGGATCGGTTTTAACCCCTGACACCAGGAAGACCAACTCCTGGAACTCTGACCTGTGTGTGCCCGTGTACACACCCAGAGCCCTCGGCAGGACTTCAGTCCAGCTCCGCTTCTCTTCGCACAGAGACTCTGAGCTCGTCTGTCTGCAAGACGCTGGCCCCGTTGCAAGGTGCTCCCATACCAGGGTAAGGACAAACCGTCCACTGGGACACTGACTCGCACCATCGCACCGCTTGGCCTGAACAAGAAACCTGTCAACAATTCAAAGAGGGGGTTTTATAGCACCCACAAGAGAAACAGGCCCCCAAGTTTCACTTTTCAACACACAAGTGTGACAAAAGGGACGTCCCGAGTCCAGAGTGAATGAATTCCACAAATATGTTTCAACAGCCTCGGTACCAGTGCTCAGACTAAGGCTTTCTAATAAGTAATTCATCATAAAAATAAACCCCGTTTTCAGCTGGAAGTAAAAGGAACCCCGGGAGATTTGAAGCTTGACCCTTCTCCATCTGTTGAGAAGCCATCAGCATCTTATCTCACCTGCTTATCTCAGAGGTCCCTTCCCAACCCTACATCGAAAGAGGTCAGGAAATGAAGGCTCTTAGTCATCACAGCTTGATTAAGACAGCTTAAAATTCGAGCTTTAATTGAAATGGAAAGAAACATTCCAAGAGGATATAGGTTTTATAGATTTAACCAAGTTACCAAATTTAGTTTTCATCGGACGTTATTGCAAACATGAATATTAAACCGTAAGCACTGAATAGGAGAGAACTCAAAAAAAAAAGGGATATAACCATACCGTATCAGAGGGGATCGGACCAAATGCTTTTGCAGGCAACTATCCAAATGTGTGATGGACTGACGCGTTAGCTCATAGGATGTAAGAACATCCTTGAATCTACCTGAAACAACTTCTGGGGACTGACTACATCAACATTTTCCTGGCAAATACCTTCTCTGCCAGCAATAAATCCCAGCTCAATACATATCTAAAATGATATACATCAGAGGGCATGTGTTTAAGGGTATTAAGTCAGCTTAAATTACTTGAGCAAAAATTTTAAATATGTAATAGAAATCTAAAAAAGGAGAAAAAAAAAATTGAGAACACCACTGCAATATTAATGCCAAGTTGTTACTTTTTTTTTCTTTTTTTTTTTTTAAACAGATCTGTACAGCAACATAGCAAAGGATGCAGTGATCACAATTCAAACCAGACAGCAGCCTACGGGAATACTAAACCTGTATACAGCAGAGCTGAAACACTCCCAGCATTCAGAAGCTCCACATATGTTGGCTACCCTAACGCACTCCAAACCAGTTCTACCTACATAGGGCATTTTGGTGTGAAAAAGTTTCTGTAAAGTTCCCTTTGTTTCCAGTGGTTTTTCTTGTACAAAATATTACAATGTTTGGTTGGTTTTTTTTTTATATATATTTACAGATTTGCACAGCTAGAAAAATATAAGCTACAATTGGGCTTGGCAATCAGTTCTTTTCTTTAAATACAGGACGTCTCAGAGCAAGAGCTGTAGTGACAACACATCCTGCACCTCCAGCACCTGCGCAGAGCAGCTTCTTCCTTACACGTATCAAGCCTAAAAACCACGACTGCAGTGAGACATGTGCCACGGCGAGTGCAACGAATGCAATTCATCTACCTCCTGGCACAAGGAAGACACAAGATGAATGTTGTTTGTGCAGGTTAGTGGCACAATATAGAAAAATCCATAACCAAGCACTAAATTCCTTAATAACATTCATTAATATCACAGGTAGAGCCTGTTAAAAAAAAAACAAACAAAAAAAGACAGCCAGTGTCACTTTTAGGACAAGCAGACGTGAAGTTCATGGGGCATTAGACATCTTGAACAAAAATGCAACCGCAGTTAACGTTTCAGGGGCTCCTGCCAGCTTCAAGCATGCCCCAAAAGGTTTTACGGGTTTTTCCATTCAACTTTCGAGTAAAGGCCAGGGAGGATTTTTTGCTTTAAAGCTACAGTATCTGTCGTTATGGCTTTTAACACCCCGCCTTTCACTGAGGGGAGGAGGTACGCGTTTCTAGTGAAACGGTAACAGCTGAGCAAAACTAGTTTCAGTGGACCACGAAATGCCACAAACAGGTCTTCTCGTGAGAGGTTGCCAAGCCAAATTGTAATAGTGCAAAACGAGATTTCTTCTTTTGTTTTTCCTCTGCAGAAAGAGCTGTCGAGGCATCCAGGACATTGCTAGTAGTCGAGCCACTGAGCAAACCCTCTTTCCACCAGAGTTCTGTTTATTGACACCACCTGAAGGGAGGTAAAAAAGCAGACAAGTGAGCAAGCCACCAGCAAGAACCATCGATTTCCTAATCAACAACAAGCAGTCTGCAGGACCATTAAACTCTGGCAGTGTTGAAAAAGTAGGTACGTCGGCACACACACCTCATCTCCCATCAAGTTCCACAGCTGTATCAGCGGCAGGCCTGTTGCACTGTCATAGTTTGTGACCTGGAAACACAGAAAAACATCAGCGGGCAGCAATTCTGGTCTGGGTCACGGAGGATGCAAGGCCAGCACCACTCTCTGCGTATCGTACCCCGTACTTAAAGTTACGTGTAGGATACTCAGTACTTAAATTACGTAGAGGAAGCGTAGCGACGGGCACTGGGACACCCTGCGGGCAGGCTTCCTGCCCCCGTGGCTAACAAAAGGGAACACCCCCCCCCCCC